TCTCTGTGTGTCTTTCATGAATAAATAAATAAAATCTTTAATAAAATAAAATTAAATTAAAAAAAGAAATAATGGTTAAAATGCTTTGTAACCCCCGAAAGGAAAACAGACATCCAGATCCAAGAAGCCTAGAGAGTTCCAAATAAGAGGAACCCAAAGAGGGCTACACCAAGACACATTATAATTAAAACATCAAAAGATAAAGATAAAGAGAGAATCTTAAAAACAGCAAGAGGAAAACAAATTGTTATGTGCAAGAGAAACGTCATATGGCTGTCAGCAGATTTCTGAGCAGAAACTTTGCAAACCAGAAGGGACTAACAAAACATATTCAAAGTACTGAAAGGAAAAAAGAAAAAACTCCCACCCAAGAATACTCTATCTGGCAAAATTATATTCAGATTTGATGGAGAGATAAAAGAGTTTTCCAAACCAGCAAAAGTTAAAGGATTTTATCACCATTAAACCTGTCTTACAAGACATATTAAAGGGACTTTAAGCTGAAAAGAAATGGCATTTAAAACAAAACATATGAAGGTAAAAATGTCACTGGAAAAAAGATTATATATAATAAAGGTAGTGGACTAATCACTTATAAGCTATTAAGAAGGTTAAAAGACAAAAGTAATAAAGTTAACTAAAACTGCAATAATTAGTTAAGGAATATATAAACTAAAAAGAAGTAAAAAGTAACATTTAAAATATAAAATGTATGTGGAGGGGGGATCCCTGGGTGGCGCAGCTGTTTGGCGCCTGCCTTTGGCCCAGGGCGCGATCCTGGAGACCCGGGATCGAATCCCACGTCGGGCTCCTGGTGCATGGAGCCTGCTTCTCCCTCTGCCTGTGTCTCTGCCTCTCTCTCTCTGTGTGACTGTCATAAATAAATAAAAATTTAAAAAAAATGTATGTGGAGGGAGTAAAAATGTAGAGTTTTGGAATATGTTCAAATTTGAATTGCTATCGACTTAAAATGGACTGTTATATACATAGTATGATATATGTGAACATCATGGTAACCACAAAGCAGCAACTTCTAGTAAATACAGGAAGAAAAAAGGGAAAGGAGTCTTAACATAACACTAAAGAAAGCCATCAGGACACAAGAGAAGACAAACAGAAGAAAGGAACAGAGAGAGAGAAATTTGGAAACAAACCAAGAAAATTTTGAACAAGAAGAGAAATGAAGGGGAAACTTGCCTCCCTAGATATTAAAATATATTGGAAGGCACTTCAAATCAAAATGTCATGTTGAAGTTTCAGGATTGGACAGATAACAAGCAATAGAAATATAAATGGAAAATGTGCGTGTTAAGGGCTCCAACTTCTAATAATAAAAAATCCAACTTAAACATCAAGATATGCTATTTTTCATCTATTAAGGAGAGAATTATTTGGCAGAAATTTTAAAATGATAACTTTTAGTGTTAGCACATTCACATATGATCACAGAAATAGTCATGGGAGATGTGGGTGGGGAAACAAAGTAAGCTATTATACTTTTTTACTCTTAGACAAGGAGTATGAGTTGATATGTTAGGAATAGAGGGAATCCAAGAACAATCAAATGTCTTAAAAGTATTCATGAGCTTTGACCCAATCATTTGATTTCCAGAAATGCAATAGAGATGTATACAAACAATAATCTATAGGTATATTTATTGCATTATTGCTTTAAAAAATAAACAAATTAATTAATTAGTGTATTATTTATTTATTTATTTATTTATTTATTTATTTGAGAGATAGAGCATGTATGATCAGGGCGAGGGGCAAAGGGAGAAAGAGAATGTTCAGTAGTTTCCCTGTTAAGTGTAACCTGGGGATGGTTCCCAGGACCTCAAATCATGACCTGAACTAAAATCAAGAGTCGGACATTTAACTGATTGAGTCACCCATGAGCCCCATATTATCACTTATTTTAACAAAAATTAGAAACCCTCTGGCGGTTAATGATAAAGATTGATTAAACCATGATATATATAGAAGCACCTGGGTGGCTCAGTGGTTGAACATCTGCCTTTGGCTCAGGTTGTGATTCCGGGGTCCTGGGATTGAGTCCTACATGTGTCTCCCCACAGGGAGCCTGCTTCTCTCTCTGCCTATGTTTCTGCTTCTCTGTGTCTCTCATGAATAAATAAATAAAATCCTTAGAAAAAAAGTACACACACAGAGCATGTTTTATGGTTACACTTTTAAAAAATGAATTATGTTTATTATTTTAACAATATTTCAAAAAAAACATTTCATTATTTAGTTAAAAGTATTATTTTATTATCCAAATCCAGAAACCAGTTAATTACAAAGTCAACTTTCCTGAATGCTTCTCTTGGTTAGTATTATAATTTTACAAATTTCTGCTTAAAATATGCCATTTGATAGTTGTAAGGAGTATTTTTGATGTTTTAATTGGCATTTCTTTGATATTAATAACATTAGTTTCCTACATTTATTGGTCATTATTATTTCTATTAAATGTTCTTATATACTGAAGTATGATTGCTATGCATCCTTTACCATTCATTTCTTTGGCTTCTTATGCCACTACCATATACGATTTATCTAACGCTTAACTTAAAAAAAATTTAGATTGTTTTGCAAGACCAAATTATTCTACCTTTACCTCACAGCTCTGTCTTGCTTTTCTTTTGAAAATATTCTCAGCTGTTGAATTTCTTTGGGTGGTGCATAGGCATATATTAGAATTTACTTTCTAAGATAAACAGATCATGATACTTAGGGTTCAGTAGTTAGGTCCCACCTTTAAATATATATATATATATATATATATATATATATATATATATATTTGAGTTGCTGATATAAGTACCACTGTTAAATAATTTTCAATTAAAAAAATAAAATAAATTAAAAAATAAAAAAAATTTTCAATTAAGAATTCAAACCCATTTTGTGTTACTGAACGAAAATGAGTAGCACAGATTCAAGAGTTGTAAGCGCTCAAGAAATGAGGAGACCAAAAGACCATAGGTGAAGCAACTGGGCATGCAGGAGTTAAGTATTGGACTCAGAAGTTGCTTTCTCAGAGAAATTAAGGATCAATCCCATTTACAATTGCACCCAAAAGCATAAGATACCAGGAATAAACCTAACCAAAGAGGTAAAGGATCTATACCCTAAAAACTATAGAACACTTCTGAAAGAAATGAGGAAGACACAAAGAGATGGGAAAATATTCCATGCTCATGGATTGGCAGAATTAATATTGTGAAAATGTCAATGTTACCCAGGGCAATTTACACGTTTAATGCAATCCCTATCAAAATACCATGGACTTTCTTCAGAGAGTTGGAACAAATTATTTTAAGATTTGTGTGGAATCAGAAAAGACCCCGAATAGCCAGGAGAATTTTAAAAAAGAAAACCATATCTGGGGGCATCACAATGCCAGATTTCAGGTTGTACTACAAAGCTGTGGTCATCAAGACAGTGTGGTACTGGCACAAAAACAGACACATAGATCAATGGAACAGAATAGAGAATCCAGAAGTGGACCCTCAACTTTATGGTCAACTAATATTCGATAAAGGAGGAAAGACTATCCATTGGAAGAAAGACAGTCTCTTCAATAAATGGTGCTGGGAAAATTGGACATCCACGTGCAGAAGAATGAAATTGGACCACTCTCTTTCACCATACACAAAGATAAACTCAAAATGGATGAAAGATCTAAATGTGAGACAAGATTCCATCAAAATCCTAGAGGACAACACAGGCAACACCCTTTTTGAACTCAGCCACAGTAACTTCTTGCAAGATACATCCACGAAGGCAAAAGAAACAAAAGCAAAAATGAACTATTGGGACTTCATCAAGATAAGAAGCTTTTGCACAGCAAAGGATACAGTCAACAAAACTAAAAGACAACCTACAGAATGGGAGAAGATATTTGCAAATGACGTATCAGATAAAGGGCTAGTTTCCAAGATCTATAAAGAACTTATTAAACTCAACACCAAAGAAACAAACAATCCAATCATAAAATGGGCAAAAGACATGAAGAGAAATCTCACAGAAGAAGACATAGATATGGCCAACATGCACATGAGAAAATGCTCTGCATCACTTGCTATCAGGAAATACTAATCAAAACCACAATGAGATACCACCTCACACCAGTGAGAATGGGGAAAATTAACAAGGCAGGAAACCACAAATGTTGGAGAGGATGAGGAGGAAAGGGAACCCTCTTACACTGTTGGTGGGAATGTGAACTGGTGCAGCCACTCTGGAAAACTGTGCGGAGGTTCCTCAAAGAGTTAAAATAGACCTGCCCTACGACCCAGCAATTGCCCTGTTGGGGATTTACCCCAAAGATTCAGATGCATTGAAACGCCGGGACACCTGCACCCCGATGTTTCTAGCAGCAATGGCCACAATAGCCAAACTGTGGAAGGAGCCTCGGTGTCCATCGAAAGATGAATTGATAAAGAAGTTGTGGTTTATGTATACAATGGAATATTACTCAGCCATTAGAAATGACAAATACCCACCATTTGCTTCAACGTGGATGGAACTGGAGGGTATTATGCTGAGTGAAGTAAGTCAATCAGAGAAGGACAAACATTATATGTTCTCATTCATTTGGGGAATATAAATAATAGTGAAAGGGAATATAAGGGAAGGGAGAAGAAAGGGGTAGGAAATATCAGAAAGGGAGACAGAACATGAAGACTCCTAACTCTGGGAAACAAACTAGGGGTGGTGGAAGGGGAGGAGAGCGGGGGGTGTGGGTGAATGGGTGACGGGCACTGAGGGGGGCACTTGACGGGATGAGCACTGAGTGTTATTCTGTATGATGGCAAATTGAACACCAATAAAAAATAAATTTATTAAAAAAAAAGAAGTTGCTTTCTCCATTTGGTGGTCATTGGACAGAGAAGTAGGAATAGAATACTGAACCTAAGTTGAGTATAAATATGATGGTTAAGTTGGTTTGTAAAAGTACATGTTAATCATATATACTTTTTTTTTTTAAGTAGGCTCCAGTGTGAAGCCCAGCATAGCACTTGAACTCATGACCCTGGAATCAAGATCTGAGCTGAGATCAAGAGTTGGACACTCAACTGACTGAGCCCTCCAGGTGCCCTAATTATGTATATTTTTTAAACATTTGCAGGGATAGTTTCCCTTTGACTTAGAATAGTGGTTCTCAACCATTGATGATTTGGGGCCCAAGGGTCATTTGGCAATACCTGGGGATATTTTGGGTTGTCACAGCTGGTGTAGGAGTGGGTGTGTGCTGCAGGCATCTAGAGGCCAAAGATTCCTCTAAATATTCTAAAATGTGCAGGACAGCTCTCACCAACAATGAATTATTTGGTCCAGAGTGTCAATAATGCTGAGGCTGAGAAATCCTAGCCTATCAAGTCCAAATAAATCTTTCTGAAAAAAATATATATTACATATGAAAGAACAATTTCTCTTATTTGGAGCCATTACTCCATTTGCCATTGTAGCTATAAGCCTCTAACTGCAGTGGCCATTTAATAAAAAAAAAATCCAGAAAACAGATAATAATGCTTATTGAATTACTGAGTTTTACTAGGATTCCAGAGACTAGTGTTCTTGCCTCCACCCACTCTGTTTCCATGTAGCTGTGTGATGTGAAATGAGTTATCTCCTCTTTCTGGGGATCTTCAGAGCCTAACCTATAACATGATGTGAAGATAGAAAGAGATAATTAAGATAAAAGTAATTGAAACTGTGAAGGGCTATGTGGAAATATAAGGTATTATTGGATATGAAATTACTCATATGTGAACATGTATGTTCAGTATGACCAGCTGGTAGCCACCTCTATTTGATTCTGACCACAAAGTCACTATCACAAAGGGCATTAGCTTTTTCACTAATACACTCCTTTTTCACAATAAAGAAAGAATAGGTGATTGAACAAAACAAGCTGTAAATTCGAGTAATAATCTTCCATCCAGAATGATACAGAACCATGTCCCTTATTTAAGAGGTTGTGGAACTATTTATTTTAGTTAAAGATCTATAGTTGCTCTACTGGATGATATTATGAGCTGAGTTGTTTTCTTCATATTCATATGTTGAAATCCTAACCCCTAGTACCTCAGAATGTGTTATTTAAAAAGGTAATCAAATTAAAATGAGGTCATTAGGGTAGGCATTCTCATGGGACATTAGCACATAGATACAGTAGAAAAACCATGTGAAGACACAGTGAGAAGGTCACCATCTGCCTGACATGCAGAGAGGCCTCAGAAGAAACCAAATCTGCTGACACCTTGATTTTGGACTTCTGGCTTCTAGAATTGTGAGAAAATAAGTTTCTGTTGTTTAAAACACCTAGTCTCTGATACTTTGCTATGGTAGCCCTAGGAAACTAATACACTAATACAGATGGGCCATTCTAAATGTTTCTCCCTGGAAACCATGGCATGTAAAATATGCATCTGGTCTTCTGACTCCAAGATCCTGGGGTGATTTCAGCAAATAGAACTTGGCTCTGGAAAAGGCTTTGTGCTCTCATTACCTGCCATTCTAGGGCTTTTCAGGGAAGGCAGGGACAAGGGCCAAACCCACATAAACTCAGATGGAATCAATTTGAGGGGGCTGTTATAAATCCATCATTTCTAAGTTCCAGAGAAATTCTACATCACTCCCTCTCTCCTGCAGCCTTGGAGAACAAGGGCCTGTAGCCTTCGTGGGCAGCATCTGTCACTCCTATGTGTGTGCTCAGTCTCAAGGCAGTGTGCCCTGCTTTTTTGTAAATGTCTAGCTAAAACCAAATGTGTTGGTCTGTTCATGATGGCACTACAAAACGATGTCCCTAGGTTGCAAATGTTTTGTATCCAGCTTGCCTGAGTTTAGCAGATGAGACCGAAAAGCATTTTGTTACTCTCCTGGGATAATGGGTAATTTGACCCTGGGGCATCTTGAAAGCAAGATGCATCTTCCTCTACTTCTGCTTTCCCTTCCAAGAGAGTCCTGGAAAGTTCTCAACATGCTCTGTTGTTTGTACTTGTTTGTGTAAGAATGTGAGTCTAGGGCAGGGCTCAGGCTGGAGGTGGATTGCGTGAGTACAACTACTGATCTGCCATCTCCTGGCTTTATGACTTTGGGCAAGTTATTCAACCTTGCTGTGCTTTAATTTCCTTACCTGTGAAAAAGGATAATCCTAGTACCTATCTCCTGTGGTAGATGTAGGATTAAATGAGTTAATGCATGGCAGGGATGAAAGCCAGGAGAATGGGGTGCTAAACTCTTCGGTACTTCTACACTGGAATGACATATATCACTTCTGTTAGAATCAGCCACGGAAAATCAAATGACCATGTATGACATCAGTAGGGAGTGTGCCTGGAGGAAGAGGAGAGAGGGATCTTAGTGAACACATACTACTATCATTCCTGTTTTACACATAAGGTCATTTCAACTTAGAGAGGAAAGTAACTTGTTCAATGTCATGTCGTAAGTGGAAAGCCAAAATTTCAACACTAGACTATCTGACTCTAAAACTGGTGCTTCTAACCATTGTGATGATTACCTGTCTAGGCAATGACATTCTTATTGAAGCCTGTTGTGAGTTTGATTGTGTTCGCCAAAAAGGTATGTTGAAGCCCTAACCCCAAGAACCTCATAATATGACCTTATTTGGAAATATGGTCTTAACAGATGTCATCAAGTGAAGATGAAGTCATATCACTTTAGGATAGGCCCCATTCTAATATGACTGGTGTCCTTTTTTTTTTTTAATTTATTTATGATAGTCACAGAGAGAGAGAGAGAGAGAGAGAGAGAGAGAGAGGAAGAGACATAGGCAGAGGGAGAAGCAGGCTCCATGCACCGGGAGCCCAATATGGGATTCGATCCCGGGTCTCCAGGATCGCGCCCTGGGCCAAAGGCAGGCGCCAAACCGCTGCGCCACCCAGGGATCCCGACTGGTGTCCTTATAAGAAGAGAAAACAGAGACACAACCACACAGGGAGAACACCATGTGATGATAGAGGCAAACCCAAAATGCCAAGGACTGCCAACAATACCAGGAGCTGGGAAGAATTGAGGACACATGCTTCCCTATAACCTTCAGAAGGAACATGGCCCTGCTGAACGTTGATTTTAGGCTTCTAGTCCCCAGAATTGTGAGGAAATAAATTTCTATTGCTTAAAGCCACCCAGTTTGTACTTTGTTACAGTAACCCTAGGAAACTAATACAAAGCACATCCTACAATAGTGTGTTTTAGATCTTCATTTTCACATTGTCTCTTTGGCTCACATGTACTCTCAAAACCAGTTTGAAACTTCTCAGGGACTATCTCCCATGTGCCATGTTTTACTTTATGTGTCTCTGATGCCTCAGTTTTTCCCCTAAACAGGCACTCAATAATAGTTGTTCAATGTATACAATAGAGTAGTTTTTATTCTTTGTTTTCCCACCTTTGTAACAAGTCAGGGTGTTTATTTCAAACTTTGGGAGATACTAAAAGTTCATAGAGCATAGTTCATGCATTGATTCTCCTTATTAAATTCTTTTTTTAAAGATTTTATTTATTTATTTATCCATGAGAGACACACACAGAGAGAGGCAGAGATATAGGCAGAGGGAGAAGCAGGCTCCTCATAGGGAGCCTGATGCGGACCTCGATCCCCAGATCAGGATCATGCCCTGGGCCAGAGGCAGATGCTCAACTGCTGAGCCATCAGGCATCCCATCCTTATGAAATTCTTGAGCAAAGGTACAGGCTCAGCTTTATATACAAAACTTATTGTGGTGTGATCCATACTGGTGTCTAAGTTGAGCTCGCAGAAGTAAGATGGAGTTTGGGGTTCCAGATATTTACTGGAGAGCAATGCCAATGAAAATAAGGAGGGAAAGCAGTATTGAAGAAAAGAAGTCAAACTATGACGCAGGCTTGACATGGCCTTGGTTAACCTACGCATTGGAGGCTCTGGAGGAGTTCTGTCTATCAGAGTGTTCCCCTTTAGGCCGCAAACAGCAGGCCTTTAGCCCCTGTAGGCTGCCCCAGGAATAAAAACTTGGAAAAACAACTCTCTGTAACTGAGGGCCACCGTAAAGTGCTGATCGTGGGAGTCCAGCTGCAGATTGTACTACCTGCAACCAAAGAGCAAGACTTTTCTTGCAGAGGAATGTACTTGGCCCATCTACACATCTACTCCATCTATCCGCCTCTGGCTTCATCTCATACCGCTTCTCTTTTCCCACCCACACCTCCAAAACACCAGCCTTCCCCTACCACTCTACTTGCAGATCTTTAAAATCTCCTGTTTGTACCTCCATGCCTTCACATTACCTTCACCCTGGTGCTTGGCCCATATAAGCAATTAATAAATGTTAATTGATGATGGACTGACTGAAATATACAGAAGGAAGTAGAAGGGGGGATCCCTGGGTGGCGCAGCGGTTTGGCGCCTGCCTTTGGCCCAGGGCGCGATCCTGGAGACCCGGGATCGAATCCCACGTCGGGCTCCCGGTGCATGGCTTCTCTCTCTGCCTCTCTCTCTCTCTCTCTCTGTGACTATCATAAATAAAAAAAAAATTAAAAAAATAAAAAAAAAAGAAGGAAGTAGAAGGAACCCTGTGACATCAAGAGAGGGAACATTTGACTTGATTGTAGCAAAACTCAAGCTCCAGTTAAGCTTTTATTATCCTCTTCTATTTGCCCTTAGACCAGCCAGAGCCAGTGTCCTGTGAGATCCAGCTTTAACAGATCAGCTCTTCAAGGACCTAAGAACCCAAACAGGAACACTACAAACACGAACAGGGAAGATGTATAACTTAGGAGCAATTTACCCTTGGGATATGTTATGTAAATGATACTCTAACTGCAGAGGGAAGTGTGCCCTAAGGATTTGTCAGTGGAATTGACCCAGTCTTTAAGCTGCTAAAGGGCTCCAAAGGTAGCTGCAAGGTTTAGAGCCTTGGATGGCCTAATAAATATCTTCTTTCTCTAGCCAATGTGGATTTCTCTTTTATTTGGAACAGCTCTAGTTTTTTCTTAGGGAACTATCTTTCACTCATTTGCATTCAATTAGGAGGAGATTATCACTCCAGAGCTCTGCTCTCTCCCAAATACAATAAATAGTTTTGCAGA